TGTTCATCAGTCTTGCAGCACATCTGAGGTTGTAGCTGGCAGGCTGGTGAGGTGATGTGCCTATCCAACTAATCACTGGGGTATGGGTACAGGGATCGTTCTCACTGGTCTTTGGGTTGGGTGTTATGCATGCACACTGTCAGTTGTCAGATGGTCACAACAAGGGTGCTTTGGTCATCAGTCATTGAGTGGGTGGTATGGAACTCTCACTGATGATCCTGGGTGGGCAGTGCTGGTCACATCAGGCACAAGTCTCCAGTTGCAGAAAGAATGGTACTGGGAGCTCTGGTAGCATAGTGGCAAAGGCACTTGACTGCTAACCAGAAAGCTGGCAGTTTAAACCCACCAGCTACTCCTCAGAAGGAAGATAGAGCAATCTACTTCCGTAGTGATACTGCCTCAGAAACCCAAGGAGGCATCGCTATGAGTTGGGTCTGACTCAATGGCACATAACAACAACAACAACAGTGAGGCAGGGGGGATGTCACCAATCCATGAGTACCCATTAGGAAGGCATAACCCTACACATTAGAGCACAGCACAGATGATGGGGTACTGCCCATTCTCAGGGCCCTGGTGCAGATGGTTGGGGCTAAGGAGGCACTGCCATTCTGCAGGCAGTCAGTGCTGGTAGCCAAGTGGAATTCTGGTGCCACCAATACATAGGCCTCCAGCATGAGTGGCTGAGAAAAAAGACAGGTGTCACTGGTCCATAGGCCTCTGATTCAGGGCGCAAGGTGGATGGATGAGGGGATGAGGAGATACCACAAGTCCATAAGCCTCCAATATGGGGGACTGAAGGGTCATGGTGGGTGAAGTGAGTGCACTTAACTTTTGCAGGGTAGAGAGTCCTTCTGCCTGGCTCTGGACATGGGTGTAGGGTTGCTCCTGCTTGGCTGCACCAGGTGATGGAGGCATCAGCTGGAAATATTGTTTGCTTTTTCTCAATACAGCTACATTGTCCATTTTGGGCTGGCAGGTTGCCAGTGATCTGTAATTCTCCAGGTCCACTGTTTTTGTAAAATTCCCCCTACCAGCTGACAGTTGGTCTGACTCTTCAGCTTTGCTTTTGCTACTCAGGTTTCCAAAGCTGTCATCTATATTCGATTCACTTGCTTCCTCAGGTCTTTGCTGTAATGGACACTTCAAGCTGAAGGTGTCCTTTAAAGCACAAATCTATTTAATTTTGATGATATCCAGTTTATCTATTGCTTCTTTTGTTACTTGCAATTTTGACGTAATATCTCAGAAGTCATCGTCTGATCATGATGACCTACGTTCATATATTCTTCAAAGAATTTTGTAGTATTAGCTTTTACATTTAAATATTTGATCCAGTTTCAGTTCATTTTTGTATATGGTGTGAAGAAAGGATGAATTTTCATCCTTTTGAGTATGAATATCCAGTTTTCCCAATACCATTTGCTGAGAAAGCTATTCTTTCCCTATTGAAAGGCCTTGGCACTGTTAAAAATCAATTTACTCTAAATCTGAATGTTTATTTTGTAGAGTCTCAATCCTACTCAATTGATCTATCTATTATTATGCCACTACCACAAATTATTTTCATTGTAGTTTTGCAATTAGTTTTGAAATCAGGAAGTGTACATCCTCTTCTTCTTTTTTTTTTTTTTTAATTAAATTTTTGTTGTGATTTAGGTGATAGTTTACAGAGAAAATTCATTTTTAATACAGCAGTTCATCCTCTTCCTCAATGCCACTGTGTTGATCACTCACATTTGGTACATTGCCCTTCCTTTCACCTAAATCAATACTTGTTTTATTTTTCTCAAGATTATTTTCAGTATCCTAGGTCCCTTGATATTTCATGTGGATTTTGGAATCATCTTGTTTATTCCTGCAGAATTTTGATAGTGATTCTGTTGAAAATGTTGATGAATTTGGGCAGAAAGATCTATTAACAATATTATGTCTTCTGATCCATAAAGATAGGATTTTTTTAAATTTATGTAGGTCTTCTTTAGATGCTTTCAATCATGTTCTATAGTTTTCAGAGTATAAGTTTTGCATCTCTTTTGTTAAATTTATTTCTATGTATTTTATTCATTTTGATGCTACAGACAGAATTGTTTCCTTATTTTCATTTATTGTTTGTTCATTACTACTGGATAGAAATATAATTGAATTTTGTATATTTATCTTATATCCTGTAACCTTATAAACTCTATATCAAATAGTTTTTTAACTATAATATTTTTATACCCAATATTTTCATTTTAATTATATTCTCTATAGTCACTCATTCCTACCTCATGCCACAAACAACTTTCTTATTTCTAGAGTTTTACTATGCTACTTTAAGATTATTGAAATTTTATTCTATTAATCCTAATTCACATGGGATATGTTCCTCATTTGTGATGATCTTCGTTCTATATTTTCCCTATTCTTTTCTGATAAGTGGCTGTTCTCCTTGACAACCTCCACTAAATAGTGGGACTTAATAAAGGGAGCTAAGTGCCAGACCAAGCATGTTTCTTGCAGTATAATTTAAATTTAATTAGTTTTCAGAAATGTATGTTGCTGTTGTTGTTGTTTGCCGTCAAGTCGGCCCCGACTCATAGCGACCTCTCCTTGGGTTTCCGAGGCAGTTATCACCACAGAAGTAGGATTGCCCAACCTTCCTTCTGAGGAGTGGCTCAGGCTCAGAAATGTATACACTTGTGTAATTGTTATCATGATGAAGAGTATTTCCATAATCCTAGAAAGCTACCTCATGTCACTGTATTGTAATTTCTCCAACATCTTCAGCCTAGGCAAATACTGATGTAATTTTTATTATTATGGATTACTTTGGCCTGCTATTGAATTCCATATAAATAGAGGCACACTTATGCATTCTTTTATGTCTAGCTTCTTCTAAAAGTATAACATAGTTGAGATTCACCCATGCTGTTGCAGTTATCAACAATCTGTTCCAATTTTAGTATTGAATAGTGTCCCTCAAATTATTTGCCATTTTCATATTATAGTTGATTGATACTATTAATACTATAAAAATAAATATAATGAGAATGCCTTGGGATGAAATAATGCTCTATATATGAAGATAAAAGAGACATTACATGTTAAAATATGATGTAATATGCTCCCTCTTGAACTTAAACCAATCTATGACATGTCACTGTCCAATCATATTATTTCATCCCCACTACCAATCTCTTCCTGAACACTAACCCCACATGACCTACCATATTTTTCCTTTTTCCTTTAACTCTTTTATCCCAATTCATTTTTTAAACTTTTTCAGCAAATCAGTTTATATTTCAGTTCAACAACTGTCTTTCCCTAATATTACAATTTAATTACCTGCCTTTCCTTATTTTCTTTTCATACATTTTCATTGTTTTTGCTTTCACTACAAAAAAAAAAAAAAAAACATAGCTTAGGAACATATTTATTTGTGTGTATTGTTGTTTTAATTTTGCTTACCTTACTAAAAATGATTACAGATAAAATTATAATATGTCTGGGGTTGACTATAAAATAATCCAGTGTAGGCAGGGAAAGAGGAGCATGGTAGATAGACATGAAACTAGATTGACTGTATTTTGGTAATTATTGAAGCTGATGATACATTATAATCTCCTCTGTACTTTTTGAAGATGTCCATAATAGAAAAATTTTACTTCAAATGTAAGTAAAACCTGTCTCTTCTGATAGATGGTAAGATTTGTGACAGTCAAGGATATATCATTTTAAATTCAAGCTTATATACCCAGTGATTAGCTAAATTTCTAGTACACATTTGTCAGTCATCAAATAGTTACTGCCCAGTTACATAATACTGCATAGCAAACTACCACAAAATATAGTGGCATACAACAATAATTTAGTGTTCTTGCTCACATTTCTGGGGGTTGATTGAGTTCAGGACAGTTGTAACTTGGCCTCTCTCCTGTGGGTGCATTCATTCAGAGGTGGGACAGGATTCATCTGACAGTGTGCCCATGCACATATCTTCCTAGGAGAGTTGTGAATTGGCCAAGCATCTGTCTCTGCAAACAGAGAGCCAGATCCATATGGCTCATGCATCCTTTCTCAGAGTTTGAAGTTTTCAGGGCAGGGGAACTTTGCTTTACATGTGGTTGCTGATTTACCTCAGAGGACTTTTCCATGAGACCCAGGTGAAAGCTGCAAGATTTCGAATTACTTAACATGGGAGATGCCTAATACAATTTCTACCACACACTACTGGTCAAACAAGTGAATTCAGATTAGCCCTTATTCAGGGAGAGGGAAGTGACCCCATCTCTTGGTGTGGGAAGCATCACACAAGTCCAGAGAAGAAAGGAATCAATCTCTCCACCTTTACTGAATATTTGGCAGAATTATTGACTGAATACATGAATGAATTATGTTAGTTTTAAGGAAAATCTACATATCAACATTATAACAATTACCAGTAGTTATAATTCAATTTTTTGTTTGCATTCCTAGAAGTCTTGTGTTTTAAAGTTTGTACCTAAATGAAATGGAACAACTTATGCCTATTTTTCCAAGAATGTATTGTAGAATTATTTTAGACAAAGCTGATTTATAAAAATTTTACAAGACGACTTGGTGAAGTGTTTCTCTTCCAATGTGGGAGGTGAATGTTTCCAACTCTTTCATTAGATAGATCTAAGTGTTTAGAAAGTTGTTTGTATTGCTGTTGTTGTTGTTTTTAACTTTCAATTAACCAGAGCTATCTTTCAGATGAGAAGGAACCCTGGTGGTACAGTGATTAAGGGCTCAGCTGCTTACCCAACGGTCAACAGTTTGAACTCACCAGCTGCTCAATGGCAGAAAGCTGTGGCCGTCTGCTTCTATGAAAATTATAGCCTTGGTAACCCTAGGGGCAGTTCTACTCTGTACTTTAGAATCATTATGAGTTGAAATCAACTCAACAGCATTGGGTTTGTTTTTGATTTGTCTTTCAGGCAAAGTAAACCTTTAGTATAAACAAAAATTCATTCACCTGCCATTCTGATACATTCATGGCCTTCTCCGAAATTTTACTGCATGTAGGAAATCTTGGGAAATTCCAGATTCTGTTATTCATTTTGATCTTATTGATAACAACACTGATGAATGTTCACAACTTGGTGGATAATTTTACATCAGCCACCCCTGCTCACCGGTGCTACATCCATCTCCTTGACAATACCACATTTGTCACCAACACCTCTGTGAATCTAACAACTGAAGCACTCCTGAGGGTTTCCATACCAATGGGCCCAAATTACAAACCAGAGCAGTGCCGTCGATTCCGCCAGACACAGTGGCAACTCCTGGATTCTAATATGTCAATCACAAACATCAGTGAGCTAGAGACAGAACCATGCCTGGATGGTTGGATCTATGACCAAAGCATTTTTACCTCTACCATTGTGACACAGGTATGATACAAATACCATGTGAAAAAAACTATGCAAACTTTTTCTAAATGCATAGCACTATGCTAAACCTAAGGAGCTCTGGTGGTGCAGTGCTTAAGGTATTTCACAGCTAACCAGAAGGTTGGTGGTTGAAACCCACCAGCTTCTCCGCAGAAGGAAGATGGAGTAATCTACTTCCATAAAGATTTACAGCCTTGGAAAGCCAATGGGGGAGTTGGAATTGCCTCGATGGCAGTGAGTTTGGTTTGGTATGCTAAATCTACTCAATGCAATCAGACATGTTGTTGTTGTTGTTGTTGTTATGCGCCATTGAGTCGGACCTGACTCATAGCGACCCCTCCTTGGGTTACCAAGGCAGTATTATTACGAAAGTAGATTGCCCAACCTTCCTTCTGAGGAGTGGCTGGTGGGTTTGAACTGCCAGCCTTCTGGTTAGCAGTCAAGTGCCTTAGGCTCTATGCTACCGAGCTCCTGTTATAAGACATAGTTCTATTATAAAAAGTAGTATAAGAAGAAGAAAAAGAAATGGAATTCTTTGGACATCTGGTTAGCAGTCAAATACCTTAGGCACCATGCTACCGGAGCTCCTTTCTATTATCTGTGTTGTTGTTGTTGTTGTTATGTGCTGTCAAGTTGGACCCAACTCATAGTGACCCCTCCTTGGGTTTCAGAGGCAGTATCACTACAGAAAAAGATCGCTCAACCTTCCTTCTGAGGAGTGGCTGGTGGGTTTGAACTGCCAGCCTTCTGGTTAACAGTCAAGTGCCTTAGGCACTACACCACCAGAGCTCTCTCTTTCATCTGTAGACAGTTCTTTTTCTAGCAAAGTGATTTAGAGTGCAGGTTCTGAAATCAAGTAGAGCTGAAATTGAAGCCCATTTTGGCCATCAGAAGCTAGTGTTGTTTAGCATTTGTTAATGTCTCTGAACTTCAAATTTTGATACATAAGTTGTCTACTTCCAATCATCAAATTTATGCCAAATCAAGGATTTTGATCTATTTTTCAGCTTGATAACTTGATAACTTGATAACTCATACTCATCCATAAATACACAAACATGATAGATATGAAGTTTACACAACTTCTAGTATCAAAAAATAATAAAACTTTCTATTTTCTTATCATTTACTAATAATGTTCATGTATTATGGAATATATTCTGTATTTCCTGATTTCTGTCATCTTGATGTACTTTTTCATTGCCCACCATTAAATGTGCTGTCCCTGCTAAAGTAATACAATCATGTAAATGTTTTGTTGAAACATACTAAGAAGATACATAACCTTTTTATATGTAGTTAGTGCTTACAATGATGGAAAATATGATAGCAAGGAAAATGGATAACACACATTATCTTTCCCACTAAAATTTGTCTCTCGATCTCTGCTATAAACACAGTGTCTGACAAACTACTTGGAATTTAGCAGTCTTTGAGGGTTTAAAACATTAAAACAAATCAAATTTCTAACAAAATAGCTCATTTTTCCTCCCCCAAACAGATCTTTCCATTTAATTGTATTTTCTGCTTCTAGTTTCTTTCCAAACCTGCTGTTTTTATTTCTGTTTTTCAGTGGGATTTGGTATGTGATAAAAAATCATTCAAATCATTGTCACAGTCCATTTTCTTCACTGGGCAAATGATGGGAACACCCATAAGTGGCTACTTTGCTGACAGGTGAGACTCAAAAAGAAGGAATTAACAACCTCTGTGTTAGGAACATTGGGCTACATGTTGACGGAAAGAACATGTTGACAGAAAGAAAGGTATTTGCAACAGAGGAGAAATAAGTTGAAAAGAAATGTTACATGGACATTTACTACCTATTACAGGGTGGTAGAGATACACATTTCCAAGGAAGAAGTAATGTCGGAGTCAGTAAAAATGGACTCTAAAAGTTGAGAAAATGACTTGTAGGCTTTAATTAGAAGTACAAGTTAAAGAAAGAAGAGGGAATGAAGGTAGTAGAACTGGCTTAGTAAATGTAGAGAGATGTTCTCAAGTTCAGAGGCAAAGACTGTAAGGGGCATGAATTAGTGCATAATATTCATGTAATGAGGTAACATGAGATAAGTAAATTTCTCAGATTTTCAAGAAGTTTGAAAGTCATGCCAAGGACACTGAATTTTCTTCTGAGGCCATAGGTTACAAAAGAATTATTGATAATTTCTGTGACTTGATGGAAATGGGTTTAATAAAGAATGACTTAATGTGATAAACCAAGGAGATTGGCGAAGTATGGATCGCAGGTGCACAAACACTACAGCAATACAAACAAAAAGAGAAGAAGCTCTAAGGTGTTACAGATATCTGCATTGCAGAGTTACAATAGGTAGTAACAAAAAATATTCAAAAACAGTTTATGAAGGGATTTTGGATAATTCCATTCTGTAAGTTCAGGTAGCACAGTGGCTAAGGCACTTGACTGCCAACCAGAAAGCTAATGGTTCAAACCCACCAGCCACTCCTCGGAAGAAAGATGGAGCAATCTACTTCCATAGTGATAGTGCCTCGGAAACCCAAGGAGGGGTCGCTATGAGTCGTGTCCGACTTGATGGCACATAACAACAACAACAACAAGTGCGGGAAGGAGTTAGTATGGTAAAAACATGAAAACTTATAGTGAAGCCATGATTCCGTTTTGAAAATAAAAGCACAAAGAGTGGTTTGTGCTAACAATTTGCCAGACACTGGATTGGATGTTGTTTCTCTAAGACAATATATGATTACAAGTAATTTAAAGTTTATTGGTGATGATGGACATGTATTAGAAGAGTCTCACCTAATCTTACAAAAGTAACAATTGGCACATGCATCAGATATTGTAGGATCATATGTTGTTGTCAGGTGCTATTGCATTGTCTCTGACTCGTAGCAACCTCATGTACAACAGAACGAAACACTGCCCGGTCCTATGCCAGCCTCACAGTCCCTGCTATACCTCAGCCCATCATTGCAGCCACTGTGTCAATCCACCTTGTTGAGGGCCTTCCCCTTTTTCATTGACCCTCCACTTTACCAAGTATGATATCTTTCCCAGAGAATGGTCCCTTCTAACAACATGAGCAAAGTAGGTGAGACAAAGTCTGGTCATTCTCACTTCCAAGGAGCATTCTGGCTGTATTTCTTCCAGGACATGTAAACAAACAAACAACAACAACAAAAAAAAAAATGTAGGGGAGATCTAAATAGGACTTCAAGTATTTGTGTAATGGTAAACTCTACTGTTTTGATTTTTTAGATGTTTTTACTAACTCAATTGGTTATTACCTAGATTTGGCCGGAAACCAGTGTTGCTATGCTTTTCTCTGCTATTTGGATTGTTTGGAACTTGTTCATTATTTGCCTCAACCTTCCCAGTTTACTGTATGATAAGATTTATTATGGCAATATCCCTGGGCACAGTAACTAGCAATAACATCATACTTCGTAAGTTAGTTTTAATTCTCTCTCCTTTACGTGTACTTGAGTGAATGTTTTAAACATTCACTTGATTGTCTGTCAGAATTGTTATTCTTCCTTTCAGTTATAGAATGGATTCCAACAAAGGCTCGAACACAAATGATGACAGCTCTTTCAATGTCTATGAGCACTGGCCAGATTTTACTAGCTGGAGTGACTTATGCCTTTCGAGACTGGCACATTGTACAGTTAGCCATCTCATTGCCTTATTTGGCTTACTTCTTGCTCCTATGGTATGTTTAACTTTTTTGTTTGTTTGTTTTATTAGTTTAAGGGACCCTAGGAAGAGCAGGCCATCTATACTTTGTAATAAAAGATATTATCCTTATCCCTCGTCTCTATAGTTTAACTCACTTGAGAAATTCACGTCTGGAAACCCTGACATGATGCACCTAGAGATGGCTGGACTGTTGTTATCTATAGACTCATTCATGCGTCTTTCTAGACTAGGATGGCTGGAATCACTGGAGCTCTTTAAGCATCTTTATGTCCACAAGGTTTTCCACGGCCATCTTGGGTTACCTTACAACATGGAGGTTGCACGGCACTCAAATTTCATAAATGGCTTCTCCCAAATTGAGTATGCCAAGAAACAGAAAGTGAAACCTGAAAGTCTCTTAAGGCTTGGCTGCAGGAACTGGCACAGTTCACATCCTCCATATTCCATCGGTCAAATCAGTCACAAATTCTGCCAGGATTCAAGGGGGGAGGTATACACCCCACTTCTCACTGGCAGTTGAGTCAAAGAAGCCACAGCCAGCTTTAATTTATCACACATACAAACTTACTCCACTGAGTTCTATTTTATTTCCTAATGAGTAGACGAAGTGAAAAGCCTCAGAAGACAATTATTCAAATTTGTCTTAATTCACTATTTAATCAATTCTATCCCTAAATTTAATTGATTAAAATGGCATTAAGCTTGTGTTCCTCCCTCTTCACTAGAAATGCACGGTTCCAGCTAAAGTAATGCAGAGAGAATCTTTCTAAAATTTTTATCATTTATCTTGCTCAGATTTACTCTTTGAAATGCACAGGAAAGAAGGACACAGGGAAAAGGTAACCCACAAACAGGAAGTGAGAAGTCAGCTCTTACATTATGGGGATTGCAATCAGTGTCATGGGGGAAAAAAAAGTGTGTATGAACTGTTGTGTGGAAAATGAATTTGTTCTGTAAACTTTCATCCAAATCACAATAAAAAAGAAGTAAGGATAGTGGTTACTGTTGAGGGAGGTTTCTAAAAGTACAGTAAATGTTTTTTTCTGGATGTTGGTTACATAAGTAGGTTTGATTTGTGGATATTGAAGCTTACACTTATGTGAATCATTATATACTACACATATACTGAGCTTCAATTCAAAATTAAAAAGAAAAAGAAATACTCTTTGAGAACTTATAAATATTCAAGCTTTATGGAAGCAGACTGCCTCTTCTTCCTCCCACAGAGTGAAGCACTGCCTTGTGGTTAACAGCCAAATGCCTTAAATGTTGCACCACCAGTTCCTCTATAAGTATACCAGAGATATTCTTTTGCTCAGGTTTTTTTCAAGGTTTCTATTTCAATTTCTTATTAGAATACAAATAAACCGAAACTACATGCATAGTTGACTATCAGAGGTTATCATTTACATTAGTGTTTTCCACAGAATAAAGGAATGGATTTATTGAGGACCAAACATGGATACATTTATGAAAGTTAAATAATACCATAAACACGATGGTTCTTCAGACGTGAACTGCTTCCTGATTACATCTTCGCTGTGCTTTGCCTAGGTGGTTTTCAGAATCTGCCCGCTGGCTGATTGTGACTGGTAAACTAGACAAAGCACTCAAAGAACTGAAGAAAGTTGCCCGATTTAATGGCAAAAATGATGCTGCAGAGAACCTAACCATTGAGGTGAGAGAAAACTGTGGTAGATCTGGGCAGCTTTTTTTCCATCCCTGGAAAAATAGCACAATTGCAAAAATGATGACAGTGACACACAGTTACTAAACAACTACATTGTTGTTGTTGTTGTTATGTGCCATTGAGTTGGCCCCGAAGCAAAACAAAATATGACCAATAGAGATTGTCGTTTCTGTAAATCAATTCATTTTGTTAGAAAACTATTTAACACCTTTTCTACTTAGCACCCTATGGAAACTGATAAGAATAATAGCACATTTTACTGAGACAAAAATGCATGCACACACCAAATTAAAAGCCAAACCCATTGCCCTCCGGTCAATACTGACTCACAGTGCCACTATAGGACAGAGTAGAACTACCCCGTGGGGTTGCCAAGACCATAATCTTTAAGAAAGCAGACTCCCACATCTTTCTCTTGCAGAGCAGCTGTGGGTTCCACCCGCCTACCTTCCAGTTAGAGCTGAGGTCTTAACCACTGTGCGAGCAGGACTCCTTCCTACACACAAACACACATGCATGTACGAGTGCGTGCACACACACACGCATACACATGTAAATAGACCCAAATCCAACCCATTGCCATGAAGAGATCCAACTCACAGCGACCCTATAGCTCAGAGGAGAACTGCCCTATAGGGTTTCCAAGGCTGTAAAGCTTTATGAAAGCAGACTGCATCATCTCCTCTTGCAGAGTAAAGCACTGACTGCCTCGTGGTTAGCAGCCGAATGTCTTAATCACTGCACCACCAGTGCCTCCATAAGTATAGCAGAGATACTCTTTTGCTCAGAATGTCTCATTTCCCTGAGAATGGACTTAGTGTTCCTAACTCCATCTAACAACTGTTAGTTAAATTTGCTCTTTTTAGTTTCTTTCTCATTTTTGATACAGATTAGGACATTTTGCCCTGATTTGAAACATGTCACAGTACTTAGTGAGGAATGGCTACCCTTGAAACTGACAAGATGATAGTTTTAAACCACGAATTGATAACTAATATCTAAAAACCTATATGCTAATATTTACTATGGGAGCTCTGGTAGCATAGTGCCTAAGGCACTTGACTGCTAACCAGAAGGCTGGCGGTCCAAACCCACCAGCCACTCCTCGGAAGTAAGGTTGGGCAATCTACTTCCGTAGTGATACTGCCTCGGAAATCCAAGGAGGGGCCGCTATGAGTCGGGTCCAACTCCACAGCACATATCAACCACCCACCAATATTTACTGTATTTACTATAGCACATAACATGTTTATAAGATGCTGCAAAAGACATTCCATGCCTTGCTGTTGAAAAACAGGCCGTCTTCAAGATAACCATGAACAATACAAAATACTTTGGTATTTTTGCACAAATTCTTGAGATTTAAAGGAATAGATAAAACTAGGGAAAATTAGAAATTTTTCATTTATCTTTCCACTATTGGTACATGGCTATTATATATGTGATAAGGTCAATTTTCAACTAGGATGATGCCAGTGACTTGATAGGACCTTGAAGGAAAGCTAATCTCATATCTACACATGTCCTAGAGTGGTGTGTCCCTACCTGGATGAATGACAATTAGATATGGGTGGCTCTGCCTTGAGCACGTCATAATGCCATAGACAAGGAAAGTATGTACTTGATACTATAATGAGAGATATACTATGAAAAGTCCTATTATATAAATGAATTTTTTGAGTGCCCAAGACTTTTTATGGACGATATAGTAGTTAAGAGTCTTTTTGTACATAAAAAGTCAATTTATTATTTAATCTTATTGAAAATATTACATTTAATAACATCTCATAAATATCAAAGCAAAATCTCAGATCCACATGAGATAACCAAATGGAAATAGTTTAAATAATAACATAAGTGCTAAAAGATTAGGAGCTCTGTTAGCATAGTGCCTATGGCATTTGACTGCTAACCAGAAGGATAGCGGTTTAAACCCACCAGCCACTCCTCAGAAGGAAGATGGGGCAATCTACTTCCGTAGTGATACTGCCTCGGAAACCCAAGGAGGGGTCGCTATGAGTTGGGTCCGACTCGATGGCAAACAACAACAACAACAAAAGATTACAGCCAAGGAAACCCTCTGAACCGTTCTGCTCTGTAACAGATGGGGTTGCCATCAGTCAGCAACAGCTAACAACAACCACAGCCACAGAGCAAATCATGCTTCCATATATGCTGGGGTATGATCGTGTGGCTTAGAAGATAATTAAGAATGTTTCTGGACAAAAGAATTGTTAATGACCATTAATCGTTAATGAGTACTAATTGTTAATGACTGTTATGTTCAGTCATTGGTTTTGGTACTTTCTCTGTATCTCTAACAACGCATATAACTCTTTTTGTTTTTTGCATGCATGGAGCTTTTGAAATCCACAATGCAGGAAGAACTTGCTTCATGCACTCATTCTTCTAAACTCAAGGAGCTCATTGCCAGTTCCACCATGCGCAAAATCATATGCTGTTTCTGCTTTATGCGGTTTGTATGTCCTCTTAATTCCCTAAATGTTAGGGACCTTTCTAGTAGCTTCCATGTCATTTAATAACTGATTGCATGTGCTTTGGGACAAAGCAGATCCATACGATGTAGCAGAGAACAAAATAAAGTGAAAAGATTGCATTTGGTAAAATATAAACTTTAATAGAAAAAGGTAAGTAATTTAGATATTATGATGAATTTTTATTAGGAGCTCTGGTGGCATAGTGCCTAAGGCATTTGACTGCTAACCTGAAGCCTGGCAGTTCAAGTCCACCAGCCACTCCTCGGAATGAAGGTTGGGCAATCTACTTCCATAGAGATATCACCTCGGTATCAACGAAGGAGAGGTTGCTATGAGTCGAATCAACTTGACAGCTTGTAATGATGACTTATGTAAGCTGAGAACCACCAGTGCTAGTACGTTTAAGGAAAGGCAATCAACTTCATTTATGTTACAGGGCAATAGTGTACAGTGCCTACAAATGCAGTGTTTTGTTAACTGAGAACAATACTCAAATCTCTGTTTATATAATCACCAACCTGACATGAGCTCGGGCAAATTGCTTACACTCTCTGATCATTAACACATTGTCTGGGAAATTAAGATAGTTATACCAAATTCATACAGTGGCTAAAGGAGATCTATCTATTCAACTGTCATCAAATTCTGATTCTGCTCTTAAAATTTGCCTAGAACTGTTTTAAGTCTGAAAATTTAACAATGAATAAACCATATACAGTGTTCATTTTCACTGTTGGATGTTTTCTGATAAGATAGAGATAAGCTAATGCGTAAATATATGTCTGCTTCTAAGAAGATAAAAGGAACTCTAGAGGTCTAGTGGGTAAGGCATTTTGACTGTTAACCAAAAGGTTGGTGGTTTGAACCCACCAGCTGCTCCATGGAAGAAAGATGAAGCAGTTTGCTTCTGTAAAGATTTACGGCTTCGGAAACCCAACGGGGGTTGCTCTGAGTCAGAATCGACTTGATGGCAATGAGTTTGTTTTTTTGGATTAGAAGATAGGCAGTGAAAGGACCAGAAAGATGTTATATATAGGACAGCAGATAGTGGTCTGTTTAATAGGATAGCATTTGAGAAAAAGAATGAAATGAAGAGATTTCGCAAAGCACTTGATTGCATGATAGAGAACACAGCAGGCTGCTTGAGATTTCAAGCTCAGGAGCTAGAATGTCGGGTTTAAGCTTGGTTCTGCTGGCTAGTAGCCTTGTGAATTTAGCAGCCTACTTGATAGTTTATTATTTAGTTCAGGTAGAAAGGACAGAAAGAGAAAATTCCTTTAGATAGTATGACTAAGGAGACTAGCGGGTATGAAGCTGAGGGAGCAGAGGAAAAGAGGAAGGAAATAACTGAATATATGTTGTTGTGGTGGTGGTTATGATTTTTGACTCTTAGTGGCCCAAGGTGCCACAGTAGAACTGTCCCATAGGGTTTCCTAGGCTGTATTCTTTACAGAAGCAGATCTCCAGGTGGGCTCACATAGCTAGCCATTAGGTTAGAAGTGGAACACTTAATCATTGCACAACCAGGGCTATAGGGCTAAATTCAAGTATTACTTTATAAACCAAGATAATGATTTCAGATTTTCTCAATGAGGAATGGAGCCTCTGGAAGGTGTGGAACAGAAGAGTGTCATTGATAAGTAATGTAAGATGTATCTATGTTGACCTTACCATGATGGAGGAGCAAGCACTAGGTTCACTCTCCAACCATAAACTAATAGGTAGCTTGATAAAATGTATGAGATAACTGTTGACAGATGTTGGCCAACTGACAATTTAGGATTGTGACCACTGAGAAAAGGGAAACAAATAAGATTAGCCCTATGATTTTCCCTGGCTCTCTGCCTGGAAATGCATTCTGGACCACAGAGCACAGTGATCCCAATGAGTTGAAGAGACATTGACTTGTTTTAGTGAGTCTGAGTAAGAAGATTGAAATTCTGTAACGATGTTCTGGAGAGGAGAGAAACACACAGAAAAAAACATCATTACAAATATGTCTATAGAGGCCCTTGAGTCTTTGCTGAATACTAAGCTGTACACTCTCAGGATGAAACTCCACCAACTTGAACCAAAAGTGACTGGTGACATGAGGACTGAATAGGTCCTAAATGTAATACACAGCAAGGAGATCTTTCATTTCCTACCAGTCAGAGGACAGAGTACTTCCTGATCCCATAGGAGATTCATTATAGACCTCAAAAGGTCCACAGCTCAGTAGTTGAACTTAAATATCCGTAGTGTAAAGGCTACTTTATACATATTCTCTCCTTCATTAAATAGCTTAAAACAAGCCTCAAAATGATATTCAAGTAACTTAAATCCCTGTCCAAAAGAAGCACTGACATTCTTTAAAGAGAAAAAATAGAATTCAGACACTCAGAAACGTACAATACACAATATTCACTATTACATCAAAATTTACTGTATATCTAAAAGAAGCACAAAAATGTGCTTTATAGTCAGGACCAGAATCAATAAATGCAGAATGAAGTGGCAATCCATGCTGCATCCTCATTAGACTCACAAATCTCTCCCAATTGCCTTTCACCACAACCTCCTTGTTCCTTTAGAGCATGCTTAGGGTTAAAATTCTCCATGACAAATGTAGGAGGTTAAAAATATTTAAGAAGATGTTCCTTCAGAACACGTTTGAAAAAGTAACTTATTTTAGAAAAACACAAATAGGAAACTGGCATTCAATTTTAAAGAAAGATATGTACATCCAGAGCAGTGCTAATCTGATACTAATGGGCATTTTCAGTTAGAACACATCTATGATGAAATGGACATATTTATTTGGCTCAAGGATATGTGCTGAATGACTTTCAAATACCACTTTGATCATGTCACCATGTGAGCTCAAATCTTCAGTATTTTCTAGGTGTCTAGTTAAAACTCATTGGCTTCGCAATCTATGTCTTCCTGTTCGTCCCCTGACCTTTTCTTGTCTTTTTGTAGGTTAATCCCTTCAGTCTTATATTTCAGGCTACCATTAACCATCAGTGGTTATTGATTCACAAAAGTAGATCTTATGCTCATGAATTTGCTGATACATTTTTCCAATTTCAGGATAGCTACCTATTTCATCTCTATTTGTCTAGCTCTTATGTAAAGTTAAAAGCAAATCTCAAGATATATTGCCTTTGGAAGGTTTTTCTGCTGTCTCCTTAAGATGAGTGCATGTGCTATTCATTAAAGCTAACTATTAATGTATGTATAATTCTGAAAATAATTAGGAATTTAATTTCTTTATTAGGTAAAGGACTGTTAAGATTTTCCTCTTCTTCTTGAATCTCTGCTGTTTCTGTGTATCTGCAATAAATTTTTACATTTTATCAAACTTGCTGAATTTATTAGCATAACTGTTTAGAGTATTTTCTTATTATTCTTTTAATGTAGAAAATGTAATGATATGTTTCTTTATTTCTTAATAGCAATAATCAATGTTTACTATTTTTGGTATTAATCAGTCAAGAAAAGTTGTATCAGCTTAACTGATTTTTTTTCAAATAATCAGATTTTACTTTCTTCGTGAGTCATGGGGTATGGAAAATAGTGATGTTTAATTTCCAAGTGTTTGGGATTTTTACCATGATCATTTTTGCTGTTGATTTCTATATCACTACTATTTTGGTTGAAGTAAATATACTGTATGATTTCAATCATTCTGAATGACATATTCAGTGTATTCATTATTTTGATGAATTTTCCATGTGCACTTAAAAAAGTGTGTATTCTGCTGTTGTTGTATAGAGTGATTTATAAATGTCAATTGTTGTTGTTACGTCCCATCA